GGGGGGGGGGGGGCGCCGGTGTTCTGCTTGGAGGAGGCGGTAGGGATGATGTCAGCGACGACGGCGGGTCCGAGACGGGCTGGTCGACTCGCGCCAACGCTGGGAGCGCCGCCACTGCCGGCGGCGGCGGCGGTGGCGGCGGCGGCGACATGGAGCGGAGCAGGAAGGCAGCCCTCCACGCCAGGGCCGACCGCCTGAGCTCCCGCGAGCTCATGAAGGCCCTGGACGCGCTGGGCGCACAGTACAGGATCCCGGCGCCGCGGGCGGAGCTCCAGCAGGCGTTCGTGTCCGCGGTGTTGGCGGCGGAGGAGGACGAGCGCAGCCAGGCCGACGCTACGGCGGCGGCGTCGGGGTCAAGAGGGGAGAATATAGTCCCGGTCAGCCCGTACGATGCGCCGCTCGAGGAAGGCGACGGGGGGCTCCGCGGTACGCAGGGGTTCGGCACGTACCACTCCGCTCTCCGGTGGGCGCGGCAGCTGAACTTCGACGACGTGCTGGACGAGCTGAAGTACAGGGGGGTGGAGCACAGCCCTAGGGCCGACTACAGCTACTTGACTCGGCTGCTGGCGGACGAGGTGCTGGCCGACGAGGAGCTTATGGGAGGGGAAGGTGGACCCGAAGGTGTGGCTTATGGTAGAACGTGGCGTTGATTTTCTTGCAGAATCCTGGCGGCATCGTTCGAAACCACACCGGTTGAGTGTCGCCACTGGTGGTGTTTTTGTGCCGCTGGTAGCAACGGTTCGGAGCAACAACAAACCTTGCAAAGTACGGGGAGTTTGATAGAGGTGGAGGAGGCGGGTTGGCTTTTTGGTTTGCAACCACACCAGTGCTGCTTGCGAGGCAGGTGATTTGATTTTTGACGTTTGGGCGGATTGCGGTGTGAAAAGATGCAGTACGATGCCATGGTTTCAAAGTGGCACCGGAATCGTTGATCTTTCCGCGACGAATGGTGATCTAGTTAGGGTACACGGTTTTTGGCACGGACAGCTTCGATGTGCTGTTCTGGCGTGTTTTTCCTTTGGAATGATTTCGTTGCCACCCCCTCGGCAGCGGTAGAAGCTGGTCGCGACTTTTTCTGCTAGGTTTCTCCTTCCTGCTGACCCAACGCCATGGCAACTACGTCGCCCAAAACTTTCAAATAGTATACCACTCGAAATCCAACCTTTCCCCTTTCCCTTGCTTGTTGTTGACGAAACCAAACATTCAAAATTTTGCGCCCAATGCCCATGGCGTCTTGTTGACCGAACCAAACGCCCAACCTTCGCCCCCAATCCCCATGGCTTCTTGTCGACCAAAACAAGCATCCAACGAACCATTCCCTCGGCGTCTTTTTGACGAATCAACACCAGCAGGAGCAGACGCGTACACGGCGGAGTTAGAGGCGGCCATGTCCATGAGCGCCCAGGAGATGATCCGTGACCTTCGCGCTGGCGGAGAGATTGCCGACGTTACCCTTAGCAAGGTATATATTACAGGATCATTTTAATGTGTACAAGCAAGCTCGTGTGTGCACGTACGAATGTACTTGTCTGCCGCCTATTGTACCCCGGGGCCTGGTTGCGTGTGACGTGTGCACAATAATGGTACAAGCCCTTATTTCTCGACAGCTGCTGCTGCTGCGGCCGATCGATCTACAGTATTCACATCCGTCTCAGTCTCGACAAACAAACCCCTCTCGTACGGGTTCCCATAACAATCCTGCCTTGTTGGGTCTTCTTGCGAGAGGATGAGTTGGCGGTCGTGCCTCTTGCCGAGACAAGTTTTCCGGGGAGAGTATCAGAAGTACGAGACCGTGCGGCAGCCAAGGGAGGCGTTTGGGCGTATTTGTACCCGCTCGTCCCCGAGATCTTCCCTCTTGCTGGAGTGCCGTAAGGGGCGAGAAGATACATGTATGGCGCCCCCCAGACCGATCTTGAAAGCTCGATTGCTCCGTAATCAAGCGTGTGTGCCCGAACACCAAAAATAGTGGTTTTGGAAGCATCTTGTCGAGGGCTCTTTCCGCACCTCCGTCGTCGTGGAGCAATCGAGCTAAAAAAAATCGGTCTAAGGGGGGTGCCATCTCTCTCTCTCCGCCTCTTACGGTATTATACAGCAGAGCAATCGTAGTGTGTCGATTGCTGTTTCACCGTCACTGCTTTGGGTTTCTGACAAAAAAAAATAGTCGAACCGGTGCTTCGAAAGCGACATCCACGCCATGTTCGGTAGAACCGAACGGGGCCCATTCCGCCATGAACACGATAGCAACCCCTCGACCACCACCTCTGATATTTCACATTTTGCAATACGTGTTGGTGTTGTCCGACCCGCTTGTCCACGCCCCCTGGAACCAGGAAGCGCTCGCCGAGAGGCTGGCCGAGATGAAGCTGCGTCTCCGCGGGGAGCCGCTACCCCACAGCGGAAGCAGCGCCGCCTACTACTACCGCGAAAGCCCACCACCGCCGCAAGGCCGGGCACGCGGCGGCGGCGGCGGCGGCGGCGGCGGCAGCACGGAGGGTAGAGAACCGGCGGACCCGCTCGGCCGCCGTGACGGCGATGGAGACGTGCTACTGGAGCTGGAGGAGGCGGCCAAGTCGGTCGGGGGCGCGGCCCTCCTGGTTGCCAGAGAAGCGGCGGCCTTCGTCTCCGAAACCGCGGCCGGCTTCTTCCCCCCACCCCCCGCCGACGACAACAACGGAGGTCGGAGCGCTTCGCCGTCGGCAGCGGGGAGAAGGGGGCAGGGAGCGGGGGGCGGCGGCGGCGGCGGCGGCGGGGGCGCGCAAGAGACGGAACGGTCGCGGCAGGTGCGAGCCGCAAGGGAGCGGGCCGGCGGAGTGCGGAGGGCCGCGACGGGGTATGCCCAGAGCTCGGTCAACCGGGCCGGGTTCGCGGTCCTGCAGAGTCTGGCGAACGGCCTGCTGAGGGGCGCGGAGGCGGCGGCCGACTGGGCGGGGGACGGAGCGCTCGCCCGCGAGTACGTGCTGCTGTTCATCGCGGCCTTCTGCCTGGTGTTCAAGAGGGGGGTGGGGGCGGCGGTTGCGCTGTTGGTGGTGATTAGGTTCGGCCGCATCGCCGCCCAGAAGCTGGTCTTGGAGGGGTGGAAGATGGAGCGGGCGAAGAGAAGGCGCGCTACAGAAGGCGGCGGCGGCGGCGGCAGAAGTAGTACCGCTGCTGCGGTGGGTGGGGGCGGTGCGACCGCATCGAGGCGATTTACGTCAGGGTACACCGCTGCTCCCGCTGGCCGCCACCGCCGCCGCCGGCCTCGACCCCAGACGGAGACGGAGACGGAGACGAGGCGCCCTCGACCAAAGGACGCCAGAGAGAAGAAGGGGAAAGGACCGGGTTCGGCGCGTTCGAGAAGGACCAAGAAGCCCGCGAGAAAACCCCTGTGGGAAGAATCGGACGACGACGACAGAGGCTGTGTGGTGATGTGATGTGGCGTGACGTCATGCGACTACGCACACAAATGCGCACACAGACGTTGGTTCTCTGAGTCGTTAGTTTGGATGTGTTTGGGCTGTTTTGACCGGCGGGATATCGCGTCGGCCGGCGCCGGGCGAGGTGTTGCGTTGACCTGAGTGGGCGCACCTCGCGCCGTTAGGACCCATGGAAGCGGACTCGGGTTGTTGTGATTGGCATCGATTCGGGCTATCAATCGCTGCGCCATGCATGTACAGGAGAGGATACATACTTTGGAGTTGTGTGTCAGCGTGTGTGGCTTTGTTCGTTTACGCATGTAGCAACAGCAGATTCCTTTGCGAATGGATTTCGGCTTCGAGTTGGTGACGAGAATTTGAAGTGTAAGAGGCACCCCCGTCGTCGTCTCTCTTGCACGCAACGATCCGGGAAAATCTGTCCCAAGTTCGTGCGTGACATTTTCGCGAAAGAGGAAATCGACCGTTGCTGCGGGAGAGAGGGCCCCGGCTTGTTGCGATACTGCAGTGCTCACGTCCTGCCTTGTTGATCCCAAAGGCGTCCGCGGGCCCGTTTACCGCGTCTCGCTAGGAGGAGAACGTGAGTCAACACAAAATTTAGTACAACTAACGAAGCTCCTGTGCGACCTTTCTCCTATGTGACCCCGGCTGAATTGTCAAATACCATAACCTTAAGGTTCGTAGATTGGTGCCTTGTCCAGCTCGATCGACTCTCGTACACTTAATTATTTGCTTGTTTTACAATTATATACCATTCGCCTAGCTGTATATATACATTACTGCACTCAGAAACGTTCCGGACGCTTGCCCTTCCTGGCGCGATTCCTTGTACTTGCATTCATAACTCCGGTGCCCATGCATCATCGTCGCTGCATACCGGTTCTGACAAATCACCTCTCTTCGAAAAATACGCCACGTCCACATCTCCGCTTCCTTGCAGGGCGTCTTTCCTTCCGAATCTCGCTTCACGCGAGCTTTACGACACAGGGGCGAGCGCCGCTCACTACAGCACCAACAACCAATAAATCCGACGGCCGCCCCCGAATTCGAAGGAACACATTAGGGTGTGTCGTCCTGGCACAAGCCTGCTCAGAGACAGTAGTTCGGCCGAAGGAAAACTCTAGAAGTACACAACAGGCACGTAGCAAGGCAACTATCAATAGTTTTCAGGAGTATTACTTCATAGTAGGAGAGTGCTCGTGACAGAAAAGCGCCTCGATCAGCGTCCTCTTCCATTAAAAGGGACCACCGTTGCCGGCGCCCCGCACCCACTCTTCCACCGCCGGAGACGTCAGCCGGGCTCCTCCCTTCCCACCACTGCTGCTTCTGCCGCTTACGCTTTCGCCGCTTTCACCCCCCCCGTGCGTGGTGGAAATCTTCGCGCCACGGCCGGCGTCGGCTTGTGCTTGTTCGCCGGCCGCGCTACGTCGCACAGCAGCAGCTGCGGCATCGTCGATTGCCTTGGCCAGAGTCCCGCGTCGAAGTCGCCGAGACCCAAGGGATAGACCGTCTAGTAGTCGTCGTCCTGAGGGCTCCACTTCGAGCCTGCGCACACGGGCGTACAAGGCGGGGCGATCGGGAACAAAACACGCCGCGAACATGGACGGGCGCCAAACGAATCAGAAATCAGAATACGTGCTATTTTGTTGTCCCGACCGGGGCTGCCATGTTGTTCGGGTTGAAATTGACTTCCGCTGGCGGCATCCCAACGAACGTCTTCAACATGCAAGATAAACCAAGCTTCGCTGCGTCAGCGATGAAACAGCTGCCGAGTAGGTCAAGTTTCTGCTACCCTCCGGAAGGTTCCGCAACGGGCACTTCGACTTGTCAACACCGCACTCCGCTGATGCCGTTCACTCACTCACTCACTCACTCACCTAGCGAACACCTTCGTGTGCTCGGGGCCAACGGGCAACAGCACAGCCACGTAGCGCACGGACCCCCCCCCCACCCCCACCCCCGGTCGTCTCTCCTCCGCTCCTAGCCCGCCCGAGAGCCGTCTACGCAACCAACGAAGTCCTGGTGATGTGTTCGACACCGCCTCCTTCTCCTTCATCACCACCGGCGATTCGCCATCGGGGACTGGTGGAGAAGAGGGCTGGTCTCGATCCGCAGATGCCGGGATTGAAGTCTCTTCGCTTCGCCCCGCTGCTTCTGCCGCTGCTGTAGGGGGCGGGGGTGTGGGCTCGAAGCGCCACCCCACGACCGTCGGAGGTGCGAACACCACCTCCCCCTGCCCCCGCGGTGAGTTGGACGCAGCTAAGAGAGAGACAGAGAGAGCGAAAAACAGGCGGAGGAAGGCATTTTTTACGGAGGCGGAGAAAGGGTGCGCGAAGGTCGAACGACCGGGTGGAAGCTACCGTTGCGTTTGGGGGGATACTAGAGGCCGCACGATGCCTGATTGCAGCCCTTTTCTCTACAGTGCAGAGACGTTGTCGATCAACCCCTGTGGTCAGGGCGGGCAAGAGCGAGGAGAACGATATTATCATGAGCCCACCAAAATAGACGGTCGACGAGGCAAAAGGAGCTGCTGCACACCACTTCTCACGACCAAAAGAGTAAATAAGATGAGCACCGCTCGAGGAAAGCGCAGACATTGTAACCAAAATCCCGTGCGCTGCCTTCCTCTGGTGTGACCCCCGACTAGGCCATCGACATGCGTGGAGACATGAAAATAACTACCCTGACGCCAAGCACAGCAGCACAGCAGCACACACACACAGGCACTGAGGCCGACACACAACCAACCTCGGAACACTCCAGCGCTACCGCTGCTGCTGCTGCTGCTGTCGGCGACACTCGAGAGGCTCGTAGCTGCCTCCAGTACCCAAGCCGCCGCCTCCTCCCGACCCTCGCCCCCCCCGGCTGCCGCCCCCATCACCGCCTCCCCGTGGGCGGGATCAAGGAGCCCACCGACTGCTTCCGAGTACCCGCAAGGGACGTCGTGCTCGACAACGACAACCTCCAGCCGTCGCCGCCGCCGCCGCCGCCGCCGCCGCCGCCACCGGCTGCCGCTGCCGCCCCGCTTTTCTTCACGCGCAGGACCGTCGCCGTAGCCGCCCTCGACTGCGGTGTGGCGCCGCAGCAGCACTCGCCGCCACGGACTCGCCGTCTCATCGCCGCCGCCACAGTAGTCGTCGTCCAAACCGGCAGCAGAGCACGAGGGGCTCGCCAGAGCCGCCGCTTCGAGGCCTACCATGGAAAAATACCACAGAGGCAAAAGCCGGGTCTCGATGTGGTTTACAGGTCCGGAATGAGGCCGGAGATGGACAAGGGAGAGGAAAAACGACATGGTGCAAGTTCCGACGAAACAAAAAGGGAGCGAGCGCGTCTTCTGGAATACGGGTCCATGGAGACAAGAGGGAGCGGAACGGGGGCGGTGATCTCAGCTCGCCGTGGTAGATGCTTCAGGACCTTCCCCCAACCATCACCCGACTTTCGACTACAGCTCTTGTAGCTGGGTGTTACCTTCGGGTGATATGTCTGGCCAGGCCCACAGCAACCCAGAGGACTCTCTCACGGGCACCTCCTCCGCCGCTGCCACAGTCGAGCTCCTCGACGGCTTCTCTTCGTCAGGGCCGCCACCAAGGGCGACCACCGACCGGCATCTCCACGCCCTGGTTTCGAGGCTTGTGGGCTTGTCGGCGCCCCCCTCAGGCGGTAGGAGCTCGTACTCTCGGCCTAGCATCTGGTGTGGGACGCACGAGAGGAGAAGACGTCCGACGTTTGTCGAACATGACGGCAACGACAATTACACGCTTTTTTCTGCGACAAGAGGGAAACCAATCTGTTATTTTTGTTGTGCGTGTTTGCGGCGACTGGGCCCTCGCTCGAGGTAGAGGGCCGTATTCTTTTCACAATCGAAGCAAGAGGGAGGGGATCGTTTCTACGTCGACGACGAATGTCGAGTCCGGCCCACACTGGCGCTACTGTTACGTCGCCCGATGATCGCATGGGCTTCAAATGAAGCGCTTGGCACCACACAATCGGCGGGTTTGCCGTCAACGCCGTGTAGATACGCTTCGTTGGATATCGAAACGCCACCATCACGAGAAACCCTTATCATACCTCGAAACGGACACTCCTTCCGTCGCCACCGCGCCATCGCCGCCGCCGCAGCCGCCGCAGCAGCAGCTGCCGGAGGTCGGACACGACGGCCACAGGATACCTGGTAGTCGGGCGAGTGTTTCGGGAACCGGTATCAAAAAGAGCTAATACGACCTTGTTCCCTACAACGATATACAGAACGTGTTTTCGTCGCCCCCAAACACAATCTGCTCTGCCAGCGGAGAAACGAGCGCTGAGTACCCAAGGCGTAGAGGCAGGGTACAAGCACCAGGAAGAGTGTCCACGACAAAAAAAAAAGACTCGTCAAAGAAAACCCGTCGGCGGTATTGGCCGATTGTGCGCTAATTTGGGAGCGCGCGTCAACGGGTAGAGTCACGTAAACTTCCTTGAGATGCTCCGGGCGGAAACAAGGAGCGAAATCTCTTGGCTCGTCTTGAACCATGCTTTTTGCTCGCTCTTCTACAAAGAAAAAAAACGTGCACGCACACCCCATCGTTCACGCGCGTGCACCGCCGCTGGATTCCTTGCCAACACCCTTACTCATGCAGCTCAAATCTCGGAGCGCGAGCAAGCGCCAGAGGAGGCGACGTCAAAACAAAAAAAAAACTGCATCACCTCTTATCTGCACAACCTCTAAGACGTACCATTGTCGCTCCCAGCAGACGGCATCCTCTCTACGTTTCAGCTCCTCCTTCTTCCGCGGGACCGCGGCTTCCACCCAGTCCTTGAGGAACTCCACCGCGGGTTGCACACCCCACGCGCCGCTGCTACCGCTCGAACCCTCCCGGTCAGCGGCCTGGCTGGCTTCTCCAGCTCCCCCCCCCGCCGCCGCCTCCGCCGCCGCCGCAGGGTTAGTATCGCCTTCGGACGGTGGTACTTGTTCAGGGCTAGTCTTCAAGGCCGAAGCTGTCGGTTCCGCCGACGGCGCCTTTTCCCGACTCTTTCCGTCGGTTGCTGCATCAGCTCTCGGCTTATCGTTTTGCTTCGCGACGCTGCTGCCCCGGCCCTCTCCGTCTTCTTGGGCCGCTCCGCTTACCGCTAGCGGGGGAGCAGTGTTGGGCAAGTCTGAGCCTGGTTCTCCGTGAGTCGACCGCACCCTCGAGAGTGGTGTGGGTCCGGCAGTGGTGGGGGGTGCGGAGGGCGCAGCGTCAACGTCTACTTCGAAAGTGGCGGTGACTTCTTCGGCAGCCAACGCCTCGGCGGCGGCGGCGTCGCCTGCGAGGTCTGCTGCTGGTGAGGCGGCGGTAGAAGACGTAGCCGCCAACTTCGTCGCCGTCGCTGCCGCTCCCGTGCCTACAGAGGGAGGAGGGGGAGGAGCAACCACAGCGGTAGAGGCGGAGATTCGAGACAACCCTGACGGGGTCGCTGTTCCTTCGATTGCCGGAGGGTCTTGTTCACCGGCCTTATGGCCGGAACCGTTGTCGTCGCCCTCTTGTTTGGATCCCCCCCGCGCCCGCCCAGCAGAGGCACCCGCAACATTCCCTGCTTGTGACAAACCATCTTCTGCCAACACGGCCGCCACCGTCGTCGCCGCCGCCGCGAGCGTTGCACTCCCATCGGGCTTCAGACCAAGTGTCCCCGAAGCGATCGCAGTGGAATTCCCCCTACAAGCACCACCCCTATCAGCACCACCCTCCTGCTCCTCCTCCTCCTGCTCGAGGGGACCGACGGCAGCGACGGGGCGTGGCTCCAAGGATACCAGCCCGTCGTCCTCAGCCAATAGAGGGCGAGTAAGCTTTTCGTCCCCCAACGCTGGTGCTGAAGCGGTGGCGCCAGGTTCGGAAAGAGGCGCGGCCTCTTTGGATGGCACCACAGCAGCAGTAGCTCCACCGACCGACGACTTCGTTGAGCTCTCCTGCAGGGCGGGGTGCTGCTGCCCGCCCCCGCCGCCGCCGCCGGTGTCAGTGGGGGGCGTCGCCGTTCGCACCGGTGCCATCGACGTCACCACGGCTTCCTCTCCACTCTTCTTCGCCGCCGCCGCCGCATCCGATCGCCCCGCCGCAATTTCCAAGCCCGCAACCGGCGCCGTCCGGCCCCGTGATTCTACCGGCACAACCACCGTCTCCGAAACCGTGGGAGTTGGATCATGCACCACTTCCCTTGTTCCAGTCGTCGCGTTGCTGCTTTGGCTGCTGCCGACCGTGTCATCATCATCCTCGTCGTCCGCTACCGCTACCGCGACTATCGACCTCTTCCTGCAGCGCCACGAGGAAAACCTCCGCCTGAGTCCGGCCAGCCTCGACACGGGCGTGCGGCGGTCGCTGCTGCTGCTGCTGTCAGACACTGTGCTCTGCCCCCCAGAGGCGCTGCCCACCCCTCCCAGAGAGGGCGGGGGTGCCGTATCTGATGCTTTCGCCGGCGGCGGCAGTAAAATCGAATTCGTGGCTGCTTCCGGGACGCCAACGTTGGCTGCCCGCCATAGAACGGGGGAGGCGATGCGAAAGGCGGGAGCAAACGTACGCTGCGTCTGGTTAGTCGTAAGTCAGTTTGTTAAGCGGGGAATGTTCAGAGTGCCGTTTCGCGGTTCCAGCAGGCGAGCACAGTGGATATAAATACACACGCCTCATTCATCATATTGTTCTTCTCCTAAACGGCAACGAAACCTCGATCCTGGCGTCTTCGTAAGATAGCGACAACATTCGCGGTGCGGATCACAAGAGACGGGACGGGACGAGCGGTAAATACCGCACATACATGCGCACCTTCTTCCGCGGAAGAGAGAGAACGACTTTTTCCGGCCGCATTCAGAGCAACAACCCGCTCGTCGTCAAGCGCGTCCTGCACGCGCCTGGCGGACATGTGGTACTCGTGGACGGGGGTTAGGACCGGCCGTAGGACGAAGTCCGCCGCCCAGCCGCCCAGCTCTTTCGTCACCTCCCACAGCGCCGTGCCCGCGGCGTCCAGCCCCAAGGCGGTTCCCTCGGCCAAATCGCCCGCTAGCACTAGTGCGTCGTCCGTCGTGGTTTCAATCAAACTAGGCAGCCTGTGCAGGGGCGGCGTTGCGGAAAACACGAGGAAGGAGCAACTTGCTTGATGGAGGAAATTTTGGCGGGGAGGGGGGGCAGGTGTGGGCCTCGTACGGGTGGAATTCTTCCGAGAGGTAAGGAGACCATATCGACAAAGGATGTGCAAATATATCCGGTCCTGCCACCGAATGACCGTCAGCGCAAGTCTACCTGTTGTACCAACAACAGTTTCCGCATCAGAATACAGAACAAGCCAAGCAGGTGATCGAAACTACACCAGCAGCAGTCTCCCTTCTCTCAATCTACGAAAAATAACCACATGAAACAACACGGTACTATGCATAGCTGCGGCAGTTGGCGCACCTGCTCGGCAACGTTTCCGCGGCCTCCGCGGCCTTCCTACCGGCCTCCTCCAGCGCCGCCGCCGCCTCGGCGCCCTCCCCGACCGCCTGCCGCAACCGCCCCGGCAGCTCCTGCGTCGCCTTCACCAACTCCTCCACGCGGCCGGGCACCTCCGTGATCGCCTCCCGGGCCGTTCTGGCCGTCTCTAGGGCCTGCATTGTCGCGCCGCGCGCGCGTTCCGGGGCCGCCGCTACCGCCTCCGCCACCGCCGCTAGGTTTTCCTTCGCCGCCGACAGGCTTGCCGCTGCCTGCTCGCCGCTCTTGGCGAGCTGCCCGGGCACAGCGGCGACGGTGCTGTAGGTCTTCTTGACGGGTTGCGGCAGAACGACCCTGAGGTGTGCTACCCAGGGGTTAGTTGTTGTGGTGCCGTCCTCTTGCTGTTGTTGCTCGAAGAGTGTCCGCTGCTGTTGCTGCCTGCGTCTCTGTGCCGCCGCTGCCGCTTCCACCGCCTCCGCGACGCGCTTCCTCGAGGAGGACCACCTGTGCAGCGGCGTGAGGAGGGCGTTCGCCGCGCCAGTGCTGGCGATCGTGGCCACCACTACCTCGGTGGTCTGCGACACGATGGCCATGGCGGTGCCCGTGTCGCTGCCGGCGGTGCCAATATCGCCGTTGCCGTTCTTGTTCCCGGCGTCGCTGCTTGATGACTTGTTCTTGTTCTGCTTGGAAGCAGGATACACCTTGGGACGGACGAAGCCGCCCCACCTCCAAGCCTCCCTGGTGTCCTTGCTCCCGTCAGGAGCGCTGGTACGCTCTTTTCGCGGAACCTTGCTACCACCACGGCCCGCTGTTGCCTTCAGCGGCGTGCATGATGTATGTGTTCGTCCGCTTGTAGTAACAGCAGTGAACCGAGGGGGTGAGATTTTCAAACCGCTTGCGCTACCTGTGAACTCCAGCATGAACTCCAGCAGGAAGAGAAGCAGCACATGGAGCCGCATGATTGCGAGAATACGGCACGGCTGGCGAGAGATCCAATCCTTCGATACCCATCAACAAAGAAGTTTCCAGGCATTGCAAATCCGGCGCATCACGTGCCTGCCGGGCTGTGTAGTGCCAGCAGTGCACGTTCGCCGGGGGTGCATGTTTATGGGGCTTCGTGACATGCATATGAGTAAGGGGGTTGCAGGCAATCCAAGCTGTGTGGCCCCCATATCCCAAAGAGATTTCCGAGCATTCGATCCACAGATCCACCCACACCCTCCTCCCTCCATCCGCCGTGCACACACACTTATGTGTTTCTCAGCTAGATGGTGTTCACATAACGAAGCACGAAGAGAGCACCATGTGCTTGAAGACAGTCAGTCTTCGCCACCTACATGCAAGTTCGATGTATCAAAACATGAACATGCTCACTCCTCCCAGTTCCAGAGTTGGAGAGGAACGCTATGCCGTGAAGTCTCAACGTTGTACAAGCAGTCTCGACTACTAGCCATTCGCAGGATTTTTTGATGAAGTCAACATGTTGAACAAAGCATGCAATCGGGGAAGATAGGTTAGGAATGGGGTCTGCGCACCCTCTCGATCGCGTCAGAATCCCTGGCACTACTATATAGCAGCCGAGGAACGGGGCAACCGAAAGAGTATTTAGTAGCATTGTTGTCTTCGTTTTCGAAAAGAAAAAGATTAGTCTAACAAAAAAACGGTTGTTTCATTGTATTTTGGGGCTTGGAGCCAAGGCTGAAACAGCGCATGGGGGATGACAAGGAAGAGGCCAGATTGCACATCAGAATACTACGGGAGAGTATGCGTACAGCCAGACACACACGAAAAGCGGCGAAGGCAACCTCTCTCTCGGCCTCCCTCGTTCGTACATTGGCAAAGAACCGCCACGGCATCGCCTGCGGTTTGACCTTCCTTCGATAAGGTGCTACTATTTCTTCAATCTTCGATGAAGGTTATCGACGTAGAGCAGTACAGTAGTACACCAACACAACGAGGAGGACGGCAAACAAACCATACATACATATCTCACTAGCGGGTCTACCCCCCTACACCGCAAGCGAGCTCTCACTATATACAGTTACCGCCCCACCTCAAGATACCGTAGCAAATGCACCCCACCCGGGGTAAGCATTCCATAGGCAGGTACGACAAGCACACAAATGTGGTATTCCAAGAACGAAGCAACACGGATGGACGAACGGACGTAAAAAAAGCCTTAGACCGAAGTAAAAACGTCAGCATCCGCACTGACTCTCTTGGTCTGGGGGATTTGATGCAACCCCTCTAGCCGTTTGTGATGACATGTAGCCATGAAACATCAAGCACAGTTGAAAGAGAGTAGTGGGTATTGTAAAGAGGCATTCTGTCATGCACAACGTCACGTACCTGCCACGCACTCGAACTCGGGAGAACAATGAACAGCAGAAAAAAAAATGAAACAACAGACTGAGACCAAGCCACTTCCCTTCTACTCGCTCGCAGCATCAAATCGAATCGAAAATCTCGAAATTCATCATCATTCCCGTGTCGCTGTGGCCGAAGATGTGGCAGTGTGCGACGGCTAAAGCAACAAAGGAGCGCGGCGATTGCGATGATGCGGCACACCACAGGACGCCGACAACACGTCGGGCGGTAGCCACCCCCAGCATCGCCAAGACACGCCACCCGTCCACCCACCAACACAAAGCACCGAAAAAACAAGAAAAAAGAGGAGGCAGAGGGGCAACAACAATCACACGAGCCGCGGAAGCACACGTCACCGACGATGCCCCAGACAATACAAAAGAAATCGAGCAAGAACCAAGGCGTACACGCACGCAATAACGTCAAGAGGGCGAGGCCGACAACGAGTAGCCACCACACGAATACAAACAAAACACCGTGCATACGTATACCACGTGAACCCACAAATCGCGGAAGGGACGGCCCCGATAATTAAGGATGGCGCCCAGATGGTTGGCGGAAAGACAGCAAAAAAAAACAAACATACCGGATCGAGCGGGAGGCGGGAGCGGGTAAAGGTGAACGGTCAGGCAAGACACACTACACGAGCGGAAGATGTGTCATACCAGAAGTGCAAGAACAGCAAACTCCGAGAGGCTTGCGGATATGCAATAGAGGAGTGATATGCTTGCGGCATGAACACACGGCGCGCGTTGATCCCGCCGAGAAACGCGAAACATGCCCATCACCCGCGCCTGTACTCGGTGTCATGCCAAGCAGATCCCAACCCACGGGTGTGGGTGGGGAAAGAAACGAACCCTGACGCATGGGAAAAGTATTAATATAACACCATGCTTGTGAGAACTGAACCATCCTTTGGTATAGCACAAGCGTTCAGAAGACGAATATGTAGCTGAATCACAGAACACGACGCCGCCGTAAAACACAAGCAAACGCATACGGAGCTGAACGACAACGCCGCACACCACACTATTTCTCGAACTCGCCACAAAACACACACCCCGCTGTTCCCCTTTCTCTCTTTTTCTCACCCTCGCCGGTAAAGTCGTCTGCTCTCCAGCGAATCGTCACGTTTCCCGGTGTGGGTATCGAAATGGTGTCTCGCCAGTCCCCCACGCTCCAGTCCGGTCCATCGTCCCCCCAGCTGCTGCCCACCACCTGCGACATGGCGCGCGTTGGCGTTGCAGGTTTTTAGCCGCTACGGATTCGGTTTGGGATTGTGTTGGGGAGGGAATTTGACGAGGAAATGCCGATGGCGCACATCTTATCATCGCCAGTCGCTGGCTGCTGACGCAATGCAAGCAGCTTTAAGAAGAGCAAGCCGAGGCGCGTGCGTGCGCTTCTTGAGTTTGCTAAAGTAAAAAATGAGAACAGTTGGTGGGGGTCCCACTTGTTAGCAAGGACCACAAAATGGTGCATGAAGGTGAAGTCATCGAGAGGAGGGATACAGGAAGGTGCGTTGAAGTGCCTCCCCACCCCCCGCCCCTCCCTCCTTTCACGTCATCATTGTTTCTTCTTTCCAAACCCTCTCCCCGCGATCTTAGTCCTGTGTGTACCCCGCATCATCGCTGACCCCCGACGACATGGCTACATGGCTAGCGGTGCAACGGTACGAACCGTAGCCAGAACAGGGAGTGACAACCAGCACTCCGCGCTGCGCTCTTGCGGGTAAGGGTCTCGGTCTAAATAGCTGTACACACTCTTGGCAACCCTCATCTTCCCACAGCAGCAGCAGTCGCACCTGAAAGTGGTTGACGTGCAAGTGGAACGGGTGTCCGTCGGCGGTTACCTCCCCGGGGCCCCCTCTGTCACAACCGACCGGTAACCTCCCCCCCCCCCCCC